TCGAACTTCAAACACGGGTGGACACGACGTTATGAAAACAGGCGTGCGATTCACGCGCGAGCCAACTTTCTGGTTGACTAGTTGGGTGCAAGGCGGAAGGCGCGCACATTCAAATTGCATTCTCCTACAAGCCATTTGAAGGACGAGGTAACGATGAAAGCACAAAAAGCCAGAAAAGATGGATTTTCGAAGGAAAAAAGTTTCGAACAATTTGGAGAATTTATTCCAAGCGATGGTTGCGTAATCCAAGTGGAATTCGTAGAACGTGACGCTTATGTAGTGAATGCGTTTGTTTAACATTCCAAAAGATATCCATGTGTCTTGAAACACCCTCCATCATTCCATCTTGGTTCACACAAACTTTTCATGACTACCCACACCTCTTCATTAAGAGGTTGACAAGAATTGAGCGTTTCTTTTTTACATGTCTCAAAGCGAACCTATCTACATATCCACGGCGCTTAGCGCCCGGACTTTCGATTGCGTCCATCGTAATCAACCATATTTTAACCTTGGCCCGCGCGGTACGTTCGAAATCGGTTTCGTTTTTCCCTCGTGCAAATTCGTGAAAATTTTTTTTCGTTGTTCAATCTATTCACAGAGTACACACGAGTAATTGTTGAATTTTATTACTCTAACAAAACATTTGAGTGATAACCCTTTATATTTTGCGCACACCTATTTTACATCTAGTCCGAAACATGACGTCAATCCATACCGATTGCCCTCCGTATCAATCCGTGAATCCGTGAATCCGTGAATCCGTGAATCCGTGAATCCGTGAATCCGTGAATCCGTGAATCCGTGAATCCGTGAATCCGTGAATCCGTGAATCCGTGAATCCGTGAATCCGTGAATCCGTGAATCCGTGAATCCGTGAATCCGTGAATCCGTGAATCCGTGAAGTGCTTCCTATAACCTCTCGACTGAGCAGTGCTACACCCTTTTTTCACTTGTGCCTTTCAGGTGAACGACAGCCACTGACCGACAAGAACAAAACCGACCCGGGAAACTTGGGCAAAAGCCTCGATCCTGTGTATCATTCCGTGAATCCGTGAATTAATGCCCTAGATGATTGCTAGAAAAGCTGCAGTATTCTGTGAAGAAACGCTCCAACGAGGAAATTCGATCGGTGGTCCGAACTCAAGCCGTGAAACCGCCCGCCCCACCAGGCCATCCAGCTTCGGAATACCGTTGATGGAAACTACTGTTTGGCAGCTAAGCCTGTTTGGACCACTGGTATGTTCGGGTATACCTTGTGCACCAATAGACTCCAACGGATTCAGCCACAGACACAAGAAAGACAAGCAATGAAGACACACTCCGAAAGAAATCGCAGTAAGAGATAAAGTGTGTATGAGCCATAATCCGTGGGCGAGTGATCTAGGCAAGGCTGGATCCCTTATAAACAAGAGTAAGTTGAAACCAAGCCTGGAAACGGTAAGGCTCTGGACAGCAGCGGATGCTTGTGAGTCGTAATTTTAGAGCAGGTACCGCCATGAATGGCCTTCTGAGGACAAAAGAACAGGCCGGCTCAAGCGTAGGTCCACCAAATTCACGGATGACGTTGGTGTGCCGGAATAAGATGGGAGCGAGGAACGAAGGGTGAACCATTCACGGTCATTCATATCTCGTTCCATTTCGCGGTTTCTCACACTATCTTGAGCGAACGGCAGGGTCATTAACAGACCGATGATTGTGAACCCCAACGAGATGGGGATAGGTGAGATTTCGTAAACCATAAATATCTCATCTGAGGAAAGCTGTGTCCCCACTCGTCGGTTTAAAATATGTAACCTGTTTGCTAGTTAGTTTGACGCCCGCTTTGGTTTGTTCTTTCATCAATACCTGTTTTCTAGTCGTTGTTGATATTACTCGCGCTACCCGTCTTACTTCTGTGAACAAAATTTATCCTCATTTCAATATGGAATCACTCTGAGCAAGTTGATGACAAAGCTGAGCCGTCTGACAGCGAATCGTCGGGGCCCACGGGTTTGTGTTTCAACCCTCGAGAAGGCTTTTTTCCTCGAGTATCCGGATCGCTCCCATCTTCTTGTCGGTAAAGAACCGTGAAAATAGACATCATAGTCAAATTTAGCTTTTGGTTCGTAATAGGTACCAAGTGACAATTCCACTTGGTGGTTGAAGTTACCCTGATACAGTAACATCCGTGCAAGATATTGGGCGTTTCGCTTGCGGAATAGCGCAACCAACTAGGTATAACCACCGGATTTCGAGCAACGCTCTGAAATTACTCGAAACTTGGACACATTCCTCCAGGTCGTGAATACGAGACAACCTGGTGAACTTTCAGATATAGGTAAAAATGGAGCATATGCGCATGGGTTCAGAAAGCTAAGTAGATGGGAGAAAAGACAAACCATGGGGAGGTGCGCAGAATATTCTAGCTTTTCAGGACAACAGGCCAAAAAAGGCCTCCGGAAACCGAAACAGTCGCTGGAGACGCTGCCAAGCAGTGGTCGTTGGACTGGCACCTTTCTCTGAATGACGAAAAGTGCGTCTGTATGTCGTTTGAAGGAGACAGCGAATGATTGTGTTATGCATGGTGAGAAAGGATCAGAAAACATCATGAGGATAGATGCCAAAAAGGATTTGGGCCTCTGGGTCCCCTCAAACTTGTCCTTCTCACTGCACCATGAGAAGTCGGCCCAAAAGGCATTCACCATTTTACGGATGATCCGACGCACCTTCTCCCGTATTACTCGCATGGACCTCCAAATATTCTATGGGGCCTACGTCAGACCGCTCCTGGAATACGCCAACCCAGTTGTCCACTCAGGATGCACGAAAGACGTCACCCTCATTGATCGTGTCCAGCGAGCCGCCACGAGAATGGTTGTCGGCCTCAAATCCGTGGACTACGAAACGCATCTCGCCATGCTCGATATCTTTCGCCCTGGGGTACCGTCGCCTCCGAGGGGACCTAATTCTTACTTATACCCTGTTTGAACAAAGCTTGGCAAACAGGTTTTTACCGTTTAGCCAGCAAACACTGGTAGGATATAGTAAGAAAAATTTCAAGCTCAGATTCATTCATTCATTCATTCATTCATTCTCATTTCGGGTAGTAGGTGCGTGGAATGACCTTCCTCCGACGGTTGTCCATGCCCCTTCTAGAACCCAGTTTAAAGCACTATTAGACACTTTTTTATGCGAATCATCACGCTGGGGAGCATAGTGCCCTGCGCTGAGAACATAAAGAGCAGTGCTACAACCTTTTTCCACTTGTGCCTTTCAGGTAAACGACAGCCACTGATCGACAAGAACAAAAGCGACCAGGGAAACTTGGGCAATAGTCTCTATCCTGTGCATCAATCCGTGAACCCGTGATAAAAAGGATGGTGGAAGGTTGGAAAAAGGAGAACGCCTGAGTCGTTGGTTTGAACAGTCAGTAACAATTCAGGTGGCAATCTGCAGCCGCTTGGTCGGATGCTGTCCGGAAGCCAGCCATTTCTAATAATTGAATAGCACGTCAATTGGACAGATGTGTCACGTGAGGGCTCCAGACCAAGCGAGGGCACGCCCTGATTGGTCAGAGCTCCAGCCATTCTGGATTGAGCATCTTTAGTTCGACGTTTCTCGCCCCCTCCCGTAGATTCTGGCACGACCTTGTGGGATATTCTGTGATTACTGTGTAAATACAGTTGCACTAATCTTCCTTAATCTACACGAAGGGCTCTCTAAAGCTACCGTGCTTTTCGATATAAGATAGCAGACGGAACAAGAATCGATGGACCGACACAGTTGCACGACCGTTCGGCAAGTCACAACAGATGGCTGGCCCACAACGTAATGAACTTGGAACCTCCGACTTCCTCGTAATTTAGTGTTACGGTTCGGTCACGCAGCGAGCAAACAATATGATAATGCGGATTGTGGCAATACTCTATCCCCAGCTATGTTGCTTGATACAGACTCCTAGCACGGCGAATAGTAAGAAGACGAGAACCTCGGACACAATCACGCTGGGGAGCATAGTGCCCTGCGCTGAGAACATAAAGAGCAGTGCTACAACCTTTTTCCACTTGTGCCTTTCAGGTAAACGACAGCCACTGATCGACAAGAACAAAAGCGACCAGGGAAACTTGGGCAATAGTCTCTATCCTGTGCATCAATCCGTGAACCCGTGATAAAAAGGATGGTGGAAGGTTGGAAAAAGGAGAACGCCTGAGTCGTTGGTTTGAACAGTCAGTAACAATTCAGGTGGCAATCTGCAGCCGCTTGGTCGGATGCTGTCCGGAAGCCAGCCATTTCTAATAATTGAATAGCACGTCAATTGGACAGATGTGTCACGTGAGGGCTCCAGACCAAGCGAGGGCACGCCCTGATTGGTCAGAGCTCCAGCCATTCTGGATTGAGCATCTTTAGTTCGACGTTTCTCGCCCCCTCCCGTAGATTCTGGCACGACCTTGTGGGATATTCTGTGATTACTGTGTAAATACAGTTGCACTAATCTTCCTTAATCTACACGAAGGGCTCACTAAAGCTACCGTGCTTTTCGATATAGGATAGCAGACGGAACAAGAATCCATGGACCGACACAGTTGCACGACCGTTCGGCAAGTCACAACAGATGGCTGGCCCACAACGTAATGAACTTGGAACCTCCGACTTCCTCGTAATTTAGAGAGGGTGTTTTATCCTTCAAGCGTCACCATGCTGCAGGAAGCAGACGATATCGCCCCAGAGACCCCTTTGGAGCCTTGGACTCAAACCCGGCACACAACTATTAAGTCTGCTGACCACCCTGGCCACTCAACTTTCAGCTCCTCACCCTCGGAGGCGGCGCAGACGGTGTTGAAATGCTTGTCCACAAACTGCCTCAGCCTTTTCAACAAGCTCGGCGACGTTAAACAGTCGCTTGTCTTGAACAGCCGTCCATAATCGCACTCACAGAGACTTGGCTCACACCAGATGTCTCTGACACGGAGATCTCGATAGACGGTTACTCTATTTTTCGAGCCGACTAAAAACAAGGGATGGCTGGTGGGGCTGCTCCGTACTTACATGCGGCCATACCAATCCCGATTGTCCTCTCTGACACCACCCATGCACCCTTTTGCGATGCACTGTGGGTCCAAATCCCGCATCTCCTACTGGTAGGTGACTTCAACGCCCCAAAGGCCTCCTGGATGGAGCTCCAGCGCGTCAAATCAGGCGGAATTTTTGCAGCGGCGCTGTTTGAAGTCGTTCAACAGAGCGCTTGGACTCGACACGCCATTGCACCCACCAGATACCGCGCGGACCAACTACCATCCCTCCTGGATTTGGTCATCACCAACGAAAGACACTTCGTTGATCAGGTAACAATTAGCGC